CAGAAACAAGGGAAATCCTGTCCCTGCAATACTTTCATCGATGGCATCCGGGATCCCTGAAATACAGAAAGCTCTGCGAATGGCGGATGTTAAAGATCTGAAAAGCGCTTTAGTGTATGCCATGAAATTTGAGGCAGCCCAGCAAGCCACCCGTCGAGACCGCCACCCGTCAGAGCTGCTCAAGTCCAGGAGCCAGGGGATCAAGTCACTGCTCGTCTAGACGATTTAACTAGACAACTGAACGCCTTGAGACGGAATATTGGTGACAAGAAACCGACCGTAAAAGTGCTGGAACTGCGGTGCTGAAGGACACATACGACGAAACTGCAGAACACCCCAGGGCACGGATGTTAAGACCGCTCCTAACAAACAGCAGGGAAACTAATTAGTGGCCATCTCGCGGGGCGGAGGTTGCCAGATAATGAAAAGCCCCAGTTTAAAGCGCTTCAGATTTCTGCAGTGAGAGGCGGCAGTAATGGACTTTTCATAATAGGACATATTAATGGAGTTCCCTGCAATATGACGATAGATACAGGAGCCAACGTTATCCATCATCCGAAAAGATTTGGCTCAACAACTGGGAAGCAAACTTATCTGGACGCCGCCCTGCGTTACCCTCCAGACTGTGTCCGGTGAAGAGATCGAACATCGATGGAAAAGTAAACGTTAACGTCACATTCGGAAGTGCCGCCTACCATCACACGGCATATGTGGCAGAAATTACAGACCCTTGCATACTCGGATTGGACTTTCTAAGGAAATACAGCTTTTTCTTGGACTTTAAAAATAACGAATTGCATTCTACATCTGAGGACATAGCGTTATTTGGAATTAATGATGAAGGAGTTAAGTCTGTCCACAAAATCATAGCTCAAGACGATATCACAATACGTCAAGAACAGAATTTTTTACTTCCTGGATCCATAGCCGAAAACAGAAATTTCCGCTACGGCATCATAGAATATCCCAATAACTGTAATAGCCCAAAAGGAGTACTAGTAGCCTCAACACTCGTCGACCTATCCAGAACGGTTATCCCGGTGAGAGAGTCGCCAATGTAACTGAGAAGGCGAGAGTTATTAAGAAAGGTGAAGTGGTTGCAGCATGTACTCCAGTAACCACGTTGAAAGAAAGAGTAACATCCAAGAATCCGTGTCCTCAGAGAGCATTACATCAGGAGTTATTGCAGAATGCGCAATTAAACGGTAAAGAGAGGAATGCTGCCGATAGCGTCATTAAAGATCTTCAAGTTGTTTTCTCCCGCTTGTCTTCTGACATGGGTCGAACTAGTTTGACACAACATAGGATAGATACCGGCGATCATCCCCCAATCAAGCAATATCCAAGACGTCTACCGTTTGCAAAACAGGAAGAGGTGCGAACACTGTTAAAGGATATGGAAGAAGGCGATGTCATCGAGCCTTCAGCAAGTCCATGTGCATCTACCATCGTCCTCGTGAGAAAGAAAGACGGTTCAACAAGATTTTGCGTTCACTACCACGGTTGAATGAGGTTACGAAGAAAGACAGTTACCCTCTTCCTAGAATTGACGACATTCTAGACACTCTTTCTGGAAGCAAGTGGTTCTCAATACTTGATTTTAAGAGTGGGTATTGGCAGGAGAAATACACATCCTGAAGACCGAGAAAAGACGGCATTTACTACGGGACAAGGGCTTTGGCAATTCAAGGTGATGCCGTTTGGACTGTGTAATGCGCCGGCAACATTCGAACGTCTTATGGAGACTGTTTTGAAAGGCCTTTCCTACGAAGCCTGCCTGATATACCTGGACGACATCATCATCGTCGGAAAGAGTTTTGAAGAACATTTAGAAAATCTTAGGAAGGTGCTTCAGAAACTGAAAGAAGCCAATCTGAAGCTGAGTCCCGCTAAATGCAAATTGTTCCGAAAGGAAGTGACTTACCTGGGACATGTCATCTCTGCAGAAGGTGTGCGCACACGGATCCTGAAAAGGTATCAGCCGGTTAAATCCTGGAAACGTCCCGAAAATGTCCATCAGCTGAGAAGCTTCCTAGGGCTTTGCACCTACTATAGGAGATTCGTGAAGGACTTTTTCCATCGCAAGACCCCTCACAAGCTGAAAGAGAGCAAGCAAGAGTATTTGTGGACAAAAGAATGCGAGGATGCATTTAACAACTTAAAGGAAGCTTTAACATCTGCTCCAATTCTGACGTATCCTCAACTCGACAGACTATTTATTCTAGACACGGACGCGAGCAATGAAAGTGTCGGTGCTGTTTTGTCCCAAGAAATGGACGGTCAAGAGCGTGTAGTGGCTGACTGCAGCAAGTGCCTGTCTAAACCGGAGAGGGATTACTCTGTCGCCAGGAAAGTTTTGCTCGCCATAAGCAAAGCCGTAGCTCCAGACGTTTTCCTCCAGGTTTTAGAAGCTGGAGATCATTTAAATATAATTTTTAATTACCAGATCAAATTATTATTATTATTTTAAATTATCAGATCTCATTTAAATATAATTTTTAAAAATTATATTTAACCTTCGTCTGTATAAGGCGGAAGTTTCCTGCTCCGCACAGATCATGCCTAATTGGCCTGGCTTTTTAATTTTAGGTATCCTAAGGGTCAAGTAGCCAGGTGGATACAGAGACTTTAGAAATATGACCTCACTATCCGTCATCGGAAAGAATAATCAACGGAAACGCCGACGCCCTGTCTAGAAGACTTTGCCCAGAAAGTTGCCGATATTGTTCCAGGGTCGAAGCAAAATACAAACTGCTGTGTCCGATCGTACGACAAATTGCGACATCAGCATCGGCTGATCGGAACCCATGGAGGAAGTTGTCAGGAAAGTCCAGCTGGAAGACGCGGACATTAAACCTATTACTGAATTGATGGAGTCTTCAAACAGAAAACCTACCTGGCAGGACATTTCAATGTATAGTCTTACGACAAAACAATGCTGGGCACTCTGAGACTCACTTCATATTCGTAACGGCGTCTTGTGCGGGAAATTCGAATCAGATGATAGAAAGGCGTTCCGATGGCAACTGATACTTCCAAGATCCCGGATTCCTGATGTCCTTAAAGAACTACATAACAGCCCTACAGGAGGTCACTTTGGAATAATGAAGACCTTACAGAGAGTTCGTGAGCGCTTTTACTGGAATAATGCAAAGGATGACGTGCAAAAGTGGTGCCGATCTTGCGATGCCTGTGCAGGTCGGAAAGGACCGAAGGAGACGCAGCCGAGGCAAGCTGCAACGTTACAACGTAGGGCGCTTTTGAACGTATCGCCTTTGACATCCTGGGACCTCTGCCACGAACTGCTGATGGCAACAAATACATACTCGTTGTCATTGATTACTTCACCAAGTGGCCTGAAGCTTATCCTATTCCTGATCAAGAGGCTGTCACAGTAGCTGAGGTAATGATACAGCACTGGATTTCCAGGTTCGGAGTGCCTCTTCAGTTACATTCCGATCAGGGAAGGAATTTTGCCTCGGCAGTAATCAAAGAAACTGCAAACTACTCGGGCATTGACAAAACCCAAACGACGCATTGACATCCCCAGTCGGACGGCATGGTAGAGAGGTTCAATCGAACCATCCTTAATAACCTCTCATTAGTGGTTTCCAGAAACCAACAGGACTGGGACAAGAAATTACCACTGTTTTTACTGGCTTACCGCAGTGCTGTCCACGAGACTACCGGCTATTCTCCATCACAGATGCTCTTCGGTCGTGACCTTCGTCTGCCTTGTGATCTATTGTTTGGCGCCCTCCGGATGCTCCTTCATCGTCTGAGGAATATATTCAAGATCTCCAGGCACGGTTTGATGTGATACACAAGTTTGCACGAGAACGAGTCAACTTTGCGACGGAGAAGATGAAGACCCAATACTACACGAGATCTACTGGACATCAATTCAACGAAGGAGACAAGGTGTGGTGGTGGAATCTGGCTCGACGGAAAGGACTCTCTCCGAAAGTACAGTCATCTTGGGGTGGTCCTTATACAGTCCTAAACAGACTGAACGACGTCGTGGTTCAGATCCTTAAGTCATCGAACTCTAAATCTAGAGTCGTTCATTACGACAGGTTAGCTCATTACTATTCTAGAGTCGTTCATTACGACAGGTTAGCTCATTACTATACATTCATTTGTTTCTAAATTTTTAAAAATTATGCTCTCATTTGATTTGTTACTAATTGTAATTATTGTTTATGTTGTTTGTTATTGTAATGTAATTTTGTGTTATTGCATTTTTGTCTTAGTTGTAAGTTTGGCTTCCTGTCCAGGGATTGAACTGTTCGGAACGTGCAGTCCTTGGGAAGAGGGTAGTGTTACGGTTTTTTTTATTTATTTAGTTTTCTGTTTTTAATAGAATTGTTATTAAAATTGTTTTATATTCCCATGCAATGTAGCACGAGATTTATCTGAAGAGAAAGCTGCGTCGAAATATTAAAAATACAGGAGCACGCGCATTTAATAAATAGATATTACGTAATTGTACTTTTCTGCTTTGCAGAAAACTTGAGAAATTAAGAGAAGCTTCTCGTGCATTTAAAAAGCTTCTAAAAGCCGAGGAAAACGTCTCGATTCAGGTATTGTTTGGATAACTTTTGTTTATTGTAGCGAATTCGCGGTGAAATCGGATAAGCTTTCTCTGTTTTGAATTAAGTTCTGTTCAACGTTTTAGTAGTTTAAAAGATAACTACAGTGAAATATTGCGATATTGTACGAATATCTCTAAGGAAATTTAAGCATTTTGTTTTTATTTGTTGTGATAAGAATAAATTTTATTCACTTTTCATCGGACTTGTGCATTCAATTTACTACGAACTCGTACGCACGCAACAATATAAATTATTTTTAAATGAGGAAATTTTGGAATCCAAAATTCCCCAAAACGTTCGAAGTGTGCTTCTAAATTTATGTGAAAATAATATGAAATAATTTATGATCTTAATTTAGTTATTAAAGAAGTAGAAAATAATTTATTTACTTTCCTCTTTCTTCAGGTTTGAAAGAAAAAGGTATACAAGTAGAGGATGTTACACATGTTGTATGTACTCATGGACATTCAGATCATATTGGTAATTTAAATTTATTTACCAGTGCACAACATATAGTCGGGCAATCAATATGTCATAAGGATGAATACATATATTTTGCATTTGAAGAGGTAAATAGAAATTATGAATAATCTTTACTCTACGGTACCCCTTGGTTTTTTTTTTTTTTTTAATAGTAATAACTTTTGTACGGACTCGGGTTTTTGGTTCTTACTATTCTTTTCAGTTGCTGTGTTTGCTTGCACGTATATAGTATGGTCTTGAATTTTGAACTTGCTATTATTTTACTGTGGGTACCATCATTTCAGTCTGTCTCAGGTGAGTAAGAGAATGAAAGTTGATAAACAGCGGATGACCCGAAACGACGAAAAATTTAATTGAATTGCTCACTTGGAGGATAAAGGAGATGGTGGTGGGAAGTCTAAACGTATGCACGTGAAAAAAAGGTATGTTAAAAAACTGCCGTTCATTTATTTATGCGTCTCTGTGTGTTCCTTTTTTTAAAAGATTTGTTTTTGAAAGTATTTATGTTACGAAATATGTATTTCTGGTTATTTATTCCTCTCCATGTGCGTATTTTTGGTTGTTTGTTCGTCTCTTTGTGTTAAGAGAGCAGCGAATTTTTTCTGGTTACCATGATAGTTTTAACTTTAGCTTCCTGATTTTTTTAAGAGAAAATAGATTGATGTATATATGGACAAAGTTAAGGCAGTGCACAATGCCTAGTTTGTGCAATTCTGTGATGTTTTCCGAAGTTAAAATAAGTCGATGTGTACATGGAAACCGAGTTTGTGTAAGTCTTTGACTTCTTATTTTGGTTTTGTGTAACGGCCATCTTGAAATTGCCGCTGATCCTTCCTGACGCCGATCTTGGCGTCAAAAAAGAAACGATTCGCCAAGGAGTACCGTAGAGTAAATTGTTACCGAAATTTTAGATAATGCATAAATAATAGTCAATATTTGTACAGTTTAATATTGATAAATTTGAATATAGGGTAATCCTTATAAAATATCTGAAAATGTTGAAGTTATTGCCACACCTGGACATACTCTTTCTGATGTCAGTGTAATTGTAAAGAAAACTACTCTTGGAACAGTAGCAGTAGTGGGTAAGTAATTTGTTTTCTAAATTTTAGTTCTAAGTAGACGTATGAATTTGTATATTTGTACAGTATATCAAGGGGAATTGGAAAATGAACAACAGTTTGAAAATTATTAAAAGCATAATTTATTTTTTATACATTAATGCACTCTAGAGCAGTACAATACATGTATGCTTTAATAGAAGCTAAGCAAACTTGTTTTACTTCCTATTTGCAAAACTGGTAAAAAAATCAATTAAAAATTGTGTAGTTATAAAAATTCACTATAAATCATTTTATTCTGTGGTTAAAACTTATAAAATAACACTTTAAATTAAGATTCTAAAAAAATAATTTTATTAAATGTGCCTATTGATATTTGATTAAAAAGTATATTAGTATTTCTTTTAAATGAATGTAAATAGCAAATAGCCTTGTTAACCGAAAGATCATCAGAAACGTTTTTAAATGAGAAAACTTAAAAAAAAAACTATTGAACTTCTAAAATTATTATATTATTAATATTATTTTTAATGAAGAATGCCTATGAACTAAAGCCCTTAGACTAGACACGTCAAACTCATGGGGTCACAGGCGGTCCTGAATCATTTTTATGCTGCCCTTGGTTCACCATTTTTAATGCAGAATGCCTATGAACTAAAGCCCTTAGACTAGACAGTTATGAAACTTTTTACAAAAGTACTCGTCCAGCTCGTCTGAATATGACAGAATACAATCACTAGTTATCACGTCAAACAACTAAGAGTGTTAAACACGACGCAATCTTAAAAGTGAAAAGCACATCTAAAAGTGAAGCTCTCAAGAAGAATTTTCAATATTCTGAATTCAGCTCTGCACTAAACTGAGAAGGATACTCTCTCTGGTCTCATATAGGCAGGCCACTGAAAAATTTACAGCACCTTTGATTTCTCGAAATTCCCGGGAGCCGCTATACATTTACAGTTGCATATAGGACTGTGTATTATTAGAGTTACATATAGGAATCTCAGACCAATTACAGTTATATAGGGATTTGACTAGAATGTCGCAAGGTTTGACGACAAAAATTAGCCATCAAAACCATCGCCAGCTTGGCATTATCTTGCCAAAGGCCTGCCCCTGTAACCTTATTTTTGTGGAGGCATTTCATTTTACATGATACGAAAAATACTATGACTTACATATAATGTCCCTAAAATCATTTACGTATGTTAGATAGAACGTTCATAAGGATAGGGAAGATATTACTGAACCTACTGCAAGCAACTTGTTTTCGAGAGCAAAAGAAATAAATAACAATAATGTTGTAAATTGTATTTTCTGTAAAAAATCTCACCAAAACAAAGATTGCTACAAAGCACAAAATTTAAGTCATTATGAAAAATTGAAAATTATGAAAGAGAAAAAATGTTACTTTACATGTTTGAAAACAAACCATCGAGCTAAAAATTGTAAAAGTAAAGTTCTATGCATGTTTTGTGGTAGGAAGCATTGCATTGTTTGTTGTCCAGAATTTAAGCAGAAATCAAAAGTTCCTGTCGAGTGCAATCAAGAAAATTGTGAAATTAGCACTCTTTCTTCAACAGTCACTTCAAGAAGAGTTTTGCTTCAAACTTTAGTGGTTGTCATTCAACATGAAGGAAAGAAACTTCATCTTCGGGCATTGATCGATACTGGATCTGAATATTCCTATGTTTTAAAATCAACAGTGTGATCTTTAGGAATAAGCTCAGAAACTCATAAAAAATTAACACGTGTTGTGCTTGGAGGAAGGACATCTGATATGAATCATAAATGTTATAATATAACTATTAAGAATCTGCATATTGGTTATAGCTGCAAGATTCCTGTGTTAGATCAGCCTATAATTTGTGGATCTATACCTAGTCTACAGAAAGGACCTTGGATATCATAATTAGCTGGAAAGGGATTTATATCACAGATGTTGATTGTGTCAACCCACAGATTGATCTTTTGATAGGCTCAGATTTTTCAGGAAATATTTATACAGGAAAAATACAAAAATTATGTACAGGTATTTTTGCTATGGAAACACTGCTCGGATGGGTTTTGATGGGTAAATCGCTAACAACTGGAGGTAAAAATTCTATTGCTGCTGTTGTTACCTCCCTCTTCATTCACAATCAAGATATCAGAAACCTTTGGAAATTAGAAGGCATTGGCATTACAGATCCCTTTGAATTGAAATCTAGAAGTGAAATTGATAAGATCGTAAACGATCATTTTATAGCAACTCTGCAAGAGAAGATGCAGAGGCTGACTATTTAAAATGTTTGAAAGATCAAGAATAAGAAGTACCAAAAGAAGTTAAGAAAGAAATGTCCTTTTTGAAGAAGCTTAGAAATGATACAAACCTGGATGAGAATAAGAAATTTTAAGAGATTTTATTTTTGATAAGAAGTGTAAAGGTAAATATAAACACGATGAGACTCCAACTTATGCAGAAACAGATATTGCAGTGCTAAGTGATGATGAAAAAGATATAAAGAAGCAAGAATTACTTGAACGTAAGTATAATTTCCGATTTGAAGAGCCGGATTCAAAATTTATGACACGATATCCAAGGATGATTGAAGATTATCTCAGACGTGTTGAAAATAAAAGAAAGAAGAAGCGTGAAGAATACGCTGAAAGAATAAAAAGGAAGAAAGAGCAGAAAATAGAAGATCTTAAACGTTTGAAAAATTTAATGAGAAAAGAACTTGGACAAATTTTTAAAGTTGAAAGAAGTGCCTTGTCAGATTGAATTGAACCTTAACGAACATAATATTGAAAGTGATTTCGATCCTCAAAAACATGACCAGAAAACGAAAACGCTTTTTAATGATGATTATTATGCTATTCAAGAAGAAGGATGTCCAAAATTTTCATATGATGAGGATCCCGATGAAGAAGATCGGAACCATTGGATTGGACTAAGTAAAAGTGATGAGTGTGGTGAAGAACAGCGTGAAGAAAGTGCTTCTGAAACATCCGGTGTTGAGCTTATAAATTCCAAAATTTATTCTAAATCACAGGTTAAGAAAGAAAGAATTGAAACAACTCACACAGGAAGGATAAAGGTTAGAAAGAAACCCTTATTTCATAAAGTAATTTCTAAACCTGAACCAGTTTGTGATCCAGATCGCAAAACATTTGATGATTATTTGGATGAGTGCTATAGATTAGATTATGAAGTGGTCGAGTTATAAAAGTGCCTTCTAAATTCAAGGACTTTGAACTTTAAAATAGACTTTTAAGTGATCAAAATGGAATTTTAGGTTATATTTTGGATTAATTAAATATTTGTTTTGATAAAAATCCTTTTATCTAAAGGTGGGAGTATGTTAAACTTTCTGGAACGAATTCTTACCGGTTTGGCCCAGAATGTTCTCGAACACAGGCCGAAAGCTATATAAACCCTGCTGGTCCGCAGTGAGTTAGTGTGTCTCAGAGAGTGTGCCTCGTCTAGCGAGCCGTGCGGAGTCGATCTAGTTCACAGCCGGGCAACGAGTGCCGAGTGGTTCGTCGAGTGCACTGAAGGAGTCTCTTAGTGTATCGCCGTTAGTGCATCGTAGAGAGATGAGCGTGTTGAGCTCCGGGAACGACTGAACCGAAGAGTCGGGAGCTGTGCTCGTGTATCGTCGAGTACATCGCGAGTTGTAGCGTGTGGAGAGTCTCCAGAGTACGTGGAGTTCCGAGAACGACCAAGCAGAGTCAGGAGCTGTACTTTGGTGCTTTACAGGAAGCTGTCTCCACCGTGATAGCGTGACAGTGTGAAGGCTGTGTCGCTCGTGTTTATAGTAGATCTTCGACGACTGTAAAACGTGACTTTGGAGCTGTCCTGATCAGTATTGGCTAAATAAAGTGTGTTTCAATACTTGATCAAGTGTCGTCGTTATTCACTCCAAATCTACAAACCCCGTACGAACGTGAAGGAAGAAAATAACGTAACAACTGGTGTCAGAAGAAAGAAAAACGCAACAATAGCATAGTTCATATACATTCAACCAGTGTAATATTAAGTTCCTTTTAGTTTTATTTAAGTGGCAACAGCTGTAAAACATTATGTTTTTGGTACAATAAACTTGTTTGGTTGTGTGTAAATTTTAGAGATATTATTTAGGTAGAAAAAAGTTAATGAATGGGCAAAATGGTGTACATTTACTGTCGTAAATAACAGGTTGTATGTCAGCGAGTGAGGGAATATTCCTATACAGGGTGTCCTAGAAATAAAAAGAAACCATGAAATATTTTTTATATTTGTTTGTTTTATCAACGTTTGTTGTTTTGGAAACATCAAATAACAAGACACCTACTCTCCTTGCCATTTTATGTACAATAACGGTGTGACATTTTATTGGCTCTGGTTTAAACTGACAGCAGCTGAATGTGTTTTATTATTTGATGTTTCGGAACAAAGTGCTTAAATTGATAAATCAGGGAAAATACGACTTTTCCTTCGTCTAATTTTTTCTGCATTATTCTATATTTGTTCCTTCAAATATATGTTATTATTATTCGTTATACAAAATTTCAGTGGAGTTGACCCAAATTTTTCAATAAAATGTTTAGAATAAAAAGTACAGGCTGTGCAACATTTAAAGAATGTTTGGAACAAATTACAATTTTTGGAAAAGTCCAGTTCAATCATAAACGAGGAAACACCATCTTCTACTGAAAGCGATGAAAATGAAGACGATTTAAACACTTTCTTAAACAATAAAGAATTGGCTATAAAAACGCATAGAGGCACAGCTTCAGTATAGCCCACCCAGAATTTTAACCAAAAAATACCGCCAAGAGCGGCGATAAATGATATGATGTGGTAACCCATACTATTCGCCAAACACAATGTAAACAAGAGAATGGAATTACGGTTACAGCTAATATAGTTGTCAGTTACATTTATTCAATGTCAATACAAATTTTTGAGATATTCATTTACTCATAGTTAAATGCACGTGCCAATGTATTCTTACTTTTCCGGCATAGCTTCTCTTAAAATTTATCTCGCGCTGCATTGCACTGGTAA